TGTCAAAGCATTCATGTTGAATATTTCTGTTTTTTTTAGGTTTGTTATTATGTATTTGGTGTAAAGGTTCCCACTGGATAACAAGATCTGGTCTAATTCATGCTAATTTAATACTTATCTACTCATAATTATGTTGATTTGTGGTGTACATATAGATGAAGAAGCCATGAAGGTTTTAGAGTCCTTTAGCATATCAAGAATGGTTTATTGAGTTGATCTTTTTATTTTTATTCTTTTTTACCCTTTCCCCCCCTAAAAAGTATGAAATTACAATGAGGTGAAAAACACCATGATTCATAGCAAATGAAAATTGACTGATGAATTAAAGCCATAAGTCATGAGGAAAGAGAGGCTTAAAAATCTCCAAAGCTACAAGCAAAGATTTGTATAATCAACCACCAAATGATTAGTGGCCTCCCACTCCTAATCCTTTTGACTTTTAGAACATCGAACTATTCGAAGATTTTCTTCGGTTTGTAATTCCTTATTTATAAACAGGTCCTTACTAGTATTCTACTTCTTTCCTACTGAGATTCAGAGGAACCAGCCCTTTTGTCCTGGTCAAGGTTGTAAATAGCGGCTTAAAACGTTTATGGCATTGTAGCTATAGCGGAGATTTAGCGGGATTTAGCGGCTAAATTGCACATGAATATAAATAGCGGCACACTGCCAAAAAAAGCTATTTCTCAAATAGCGGCAACTTTAGCGAGCTATCTGTTTCCTTGGTCCTGGTCTAGCTTATTCAATTCATCTTCTTGACATTGTTTATAATATCATAAAGTTCCAGGGAGTAAAGTGGAAAATAGGATAAATTTCTCTACAGCTGACAAAAAATAATTAATTTGTGAACATGAAGTCATCAGCTAAGCAGCAAGTCAACATATGGTAAGATATGGCTAGTAATTGGAAGAGTCAGCTTTAGAAGTTCTTCAATGGTGATAGACTGATAAAAATGCCCCATTGAGCTCTTAGAAAAACTAATAACTACAGAAAATAGTTAACTGTAGTATCGTATAAAGATTTTCACATAATAATGCCTGTCATTAGTTTTCATTGTTTGAGGCATGAGCTGTGTGCAACATACTAGTTGTGTTAGTCTTGAATAGTTTGTCTCAAAATTTGTAGGATATACAAGATTTTCCTCGAATGGGTTCGGGCACGACAAGGTTTCGAATATGCTTTTAACTGTGCTTCAAATTTATTTTGCTTCTCTTACATCTTTCTCCCTCTCTTCTTTCTGTTTTTTTTTCTTTTTCTTTTTTTTTTTCATAAAATAAAACGTAGTTGATGCATTCATCAATGACGTAGTTTGCTGTTAATTTGTCTGTTTTAACATTCCATATAAACTCATCTTTGCATCTTGTGATCATCTGATATGTTTCTCCTCCATTTTTTAAAAACTTTTTGCCTTCCTTTGTTCATTTCTGCCTTTTTACTCTCTCTCTCTCTCTCTCTCTCTCTCTCTCTCTCTCTCTCTCTCTCTCTCTCACTCTCTTTTTCTTCTTTCAGCTTTGCACGATTCTATTGGGGGCTGTAACTGAACTGAGCTCTTCCTTTCAGAAGAAGCATGGCTTTAGGACCAAAGAGGCGGTGGAGTTCAAGTAACACACTTTGTTTGTCTG